TCTGTATTTAATTTTTACAATGAAGACTACAGAAATTAATCAAATGTAAAATAACACTGTATGTGTTATTTTACATTTGATTAATTTCTGTAGTATTTCTTACTTGAATAAAAACTTACATAACCTGAAAAACTTGGTTTCATAGCTCTCTTTATTCTATTGCATTTATTTGCGCTGTTTGCAATTTTTTTATTTGTTCTTATTTTATTACTGACTTTTTAATTGTTTTTTTTTAAGAAAATAAAGTAGAGTTTTGCTTGTATATGCTGTCAATTATAGTTCTTAGAAAGAAAATCGGAATCGGCAAAAATCGGTATCACACTAACAAAAAAATCGGAAATCGGAATCGGCCAAGAAAATTGCAATCGGTGCATCTCTGTTACAAATGTTGCTTTTGCAACTCACTTAAGTTGAAATGCTGAATTTGACTAAAACTGAAATAAAAATAAATATTTATATAAAAATTAAAAATTTACTAGAACGACAAACAAGGAAAACTCACAAGAATAAAAAAACAAGAGCACAACAAAATAAAAATAAATGAAAGCTGAAAATGGGAAAATGAAAACTAATACAAAATATTAGTGAATACTGTAATAGTTTACAAAAATAAATACTAAAACTAAAATGAAAATAAATATTAAAACCTAATTTAAAAAAAACAGCAACAAAACCGTGAATCTAAAATTAAAATAAAAGCTGAAAATAGAAAAAGACCTAATCACAATACTATAATAGTATGCTAAAATTGCCAAAGCTAAAACTGAAATAAAAATATACTTAAAAAAAAAACAATGGCTAAAACTTCAACATTATACTGAAATCTGAAAATAAAAAAAATCTAAATATTAATACCATAATAGTATACTAAAACAAATAAAAACTAAATATATATACAACAGTAAATGATTAATAAACAAGCTTATAAAAATTACAAAAATAAAATTTTAACAAAAAAATTAGGAAAATACAATCTAATTTAAAACATGAATAAATACCGGTACTATAATGGTATACTAAAATTACTAAAACTGAAATAAAAACTAAATATTAAAAGCCTAATAAAAAAATGACAAAATACAATATTAGTAAAACTTAGACTAAAATAAAAATATAAAACTAAGATATTATAAAAAATAAATACTAAAACTAAAATGAAAATAAATATTAAAACCTAATTTAAAAAAAACAGCAACAAAACCGTGAATCTAAAATTAAAATAAAAGCTGAAAATAGAAAAAGACCTAATCACAATACTATAATAGTATGCTAAAATTGCCAAAGCTAAAACTGAAATAAAAATATACTTAAAAAAAAAACAATGGCTAAAACTTCAACATTATACTGAAATCTGAAAATAAAAAAAATCTAAATATTAATACCATAATAGTATACTAAAACAAATAAAAACTAAATATATATACAACAGTAAATGATTAATAAACAAGCTTATAAAAATTACAAAAATAAAATTTTAACAAAAAAATTAGGAAAATACAATTACTTGTAATACTAAAATAACACTTGAATTCAGATGTGACCAAACAAAAGTCATTCCCATTGTTTCCTCAGTAACATTTCACGTGATGATTTTTTTGGCAGCACCCGAGGGAATCCTTCGCGCAGTCGGTCACGCAGTCGAGGACGATCCACGTCACGCTCCAGCTCCAGATCTTCCAAATCCTCTCGCTCCAGATCCCGATCCAGATCCCGTTCTCGCTCCTACTCCAGATCCCGCTCCAGGTATCCCAAAAAAATAAAAAAGAATCTGTGAATATTTAAACCATTTTTTCCAGCCACACGAAGTTGTTGAACACATTTTTGACTTTCTCCCGTAGGAGCAGGAGTCACTCCAGATCCAGGTCCCGAAGTCGCTCCCGCTCCAGATCTCGCTCCAGATCACGATCTCCAGACAAGCGTTGTGACGCTGCAAAATCACGCAGTCCGACACCACCGTAAGTCGAGCTACTTTGTTACCAAAATCCTGTTCGCATTTGAAAAGCAGAATTTTGCTTTGTAATCTGTATCTGTACAGATAGTTATTACTATCAGGATTTCATGATCATTTTACATAATTTTTATGTTTATGCTTAATTAAAAAAATACAATTAAATGAATCCATTTATTGAATTTAATTATTTACCTATGTTTTTCATTGTCTTTAATTATTTGTAAAATTAATAATGAAAAACTATTAATACAAAAAGTGATATTGCGACTTTATTTAGTGAAATTTCAAATAAAAATATTGAAATGAAATATCATTAAAAATTATGGAGCAAATTACCTAAATTCTTTTTACTCATTAGGGGCTCCTAAATATAAATCTAATCCCATCCTACGAAATCACATTATAAAGTCTATTGTTGTATTTTTAGTCACAAAATCTCTCCACATTTATTTTGACCTTTATAAGTTGGATGGTGAAAAAATAAAAAAAAAGTATCCCATTCAGATTGCAGTGTCTGTGCTTTTTTTCCACATTTATTTGACCTTCATAAGTCAAATTTTGTGACTAAAGCTAAATTTCTTGTTGCATTGAATGTTAAAAAATTATAAACAATTATAATTGGTGGTATCACAAAATTGATCCAATCCAAATTGCGATTTAGCATGATGTTGACATGAAATACGGCCTCTCTGCAGCTCCACATCTGGTTTGGGTTCAGGCCCTGCTGCGTTACCAGCCGACCTCAAGCTGGGCGAAGAAAACAAGGGCCATCAGATGCTCATGAAGATGGGTAAGTGATCTAGAACATGTTTGACGAAGACCACATGAACTGATGTCTCCATTGATCCAGCACTAATTCTATTCCTGCTCATCCTGCAGGCTGGAGTGGATCAGGAGGTCTTGGTGCTAAAGAACAGGGCATTCAAGACCCCATCAAAGGAGGAGACATCCGGGACAAGTGGGACCAGTACAAAGGAGTGGGAGTCCCGCTGGATGACCCGTACGTGAACTACAGGCGAAACAAAAGCTACAATTTTGTTGCAAGGATGAAAGCACGAGAAAAAGGTATTCATGTTTTTAAAATAGAGACCTTAATGTTAGCAAAAGCCTGTTTGCCAAGTCAATCATCACTAATATTGATGCTAATACTTAGGGTTAGGGGTTTATTCAAACTATTAACCCCAAGTATTGAACTTACTATTAATTATAACCAAGTATGAATGTGTTTTATCTTTGTTCATCCTCAGTAATCAGAGACCCCCAGGAGCCCTCCAGCACAGAGTGATCACCCATCACACGTGGCCTGTTTTTTTTAATTATTTTTTTTACTGTAGATGTCAAAGCTGTTTTCACATTCGTTTGGACATTTTATCTTGCCCTTGGTTCCTTTTTGTAGTAAAATGCATCAAAGCATCATATTGTAACTCAGAGGTGTCAGTGTCATTGCAAGCGCTTCCTTTGATTAATCTGAGACTCTGTACAAGCAAAATAAAGATATCTTAAAAAGGGCACAGTGTTTAGACAAACATCTCATTTATACATGAATGACTGAAGTGAAACAGTGAACCGATACTGAAAAATTATTACGTTATTACATGAACAATGATTGAAAAGTTTTGGCTGTTTATAATCTATGGATGATGCATCCAAAACATTAATCATCTGTTTATTCAACTAATGATAGTCTCTCATTTCCTGTAGAACTTCCTCTAAAGCGTCTTCAATACTCAGTTTGGGTGGCCTGTGAGCGTGAATAAACTAGAACAAAAAAAAAATCCTGTTAGCAAACACTTAAGATATTATGAAAGGAATATGAAAAAATGATACATAAACTTGATACAATTGTTGTACGTCTAACCCTCACAGCCTCATTTTGTTACTCATTGAATTTTTACCTCTTTAGTATCCTCTAGTGTGGTGTATTTGGAGTCGATGAATGCTCTAGTGAGGGCCAACTGCTGCCGTAACATGTCGTTGAGTGCAAAAACAGCAGGACTGTATGCCGTCAAACCTGTTAACATGGAAAATGAGCTGGTTCAACTAGTAAAATAATTTTCTCAATGACTGAAATGTTCTGATTCTTTGTAATAACCTCTTAAGATGTATATGTTTTCTAGGTTCAGGGTCATTCAGACGTAAAGCGTGTAGTTCATATTTTATACTCGCTCTCAATGACTTCAGCGCTGACTGTATGACTGGCTATTGGGGTGGGGTCCATGTACGTCAAACCCACCGACGGACCAACAGCAGCCATGCCTGAAAAAAATTCTATCACAAAAATCACAAAAACATAAATGAGTGGATCTCACAAGACCATCTTTCCAGGTTTTTTGCATTACGGTAATGGAAATTTGGAGAAAAATGCTTAAATTTCATGACATTTGTGTCAATACATATCAAAAAATGTATTATAGATGAAAAGGACTTCGATGTGTTCTTGATCCAAATACATTTTTCACAGAAAAAGAACGAAAGTGGTCCTAAACCATAACCCTGAGGGACGCCCCAAAGAAATGGAGTTGGAAATATGACCTAGATGTGTTCTTGATTGTTTTTGTGAGATTCACCCAAATACCTTTCTTTCAGAACAAGAGTGAAAGTGGTCCTAAACTATAACCCTGAGTTACACCCCAAAGAAATGGAGTCAGAAATATGACCAAGACATGTTCTTGACAGGTTTTGAGAGATTCATCCATATACATTTCTCTCAGAACAAGAACAAGGTGGTCTTGAACTATAACCCTGAGGTACGCCCCAAAGAAATGTAGTCTGGCTGGACTGAAGTATCAGATAATGTAAACCTACCAGAAGACCATGTGTAAGTTAGTCCATCTGTCTGAGTCTGTACCGCAACCTCCTTTACATGACGGTCAGGACTGGGGCCATGTGTGACTATTGCATTGGACGAGCTAGACCTCGAGGAAGAGTCTGAGTGGTGACTGGATGACGATGATTGTGATAAAGTATGGTCATCATCGTCGCCATCCTGGGATTTGTATGTGCTGTGCTGGGCCTCGCTGATCAGTGAGGCATCTTTGTTTTTATCTGTGAGACGTTTGGAGATCTCACTGGCGCTCTGTGGCATCTCAGATGAGATCTCGCTCTCAAAATCAGTCTCGTAGGCAGCCGAGGCATCTTCCGGTGTGGGTGGTGAAGCAACCTTTGAGATGTTGTTGGATGACTTCTTGTTTCTATCTTCTGTTCTGGTTTGTGTTTCTTTCTGAGTACAAACAATGTTTTTCAATTAAAAAAATACTTACGTAAATTATGTTCAGAAATGACATTTTAACACACCTTTTCTTGTGAGATTTCAGCTGCTTCAAAAGGTATAGGGGCGAGATCATCCAGTGTCATTACGTTCAGTTTGAAATCTGTGGGAAATCACCAAGAGAGAAAAATTTATTTAAAACACTTAGGTGAACAATTCTATTTAACAATAGTTAAGAACGGTTTCAGATGATTGCTAAATTTGGAATCCACAGGTGTTTTACCATCCAATGCTGCACTCCTCTCGCTCAGAGTATCATCAGAATCAAGTGCTGCAGCAACAGGAAAAAGATTGTCCAAAGACTGGGATCTCACTGTGATCCATTTCAGAGGACACTGAATGTTCAGTAAACTGGACCATATGTGCTGGGGGGAGGTGAAAGACTTTGATGGTTGAAAACATTGTGTCTTTCAGGATTTGGTGAAGGTACGGTGGACTTTTTAATGCTCTTGTATAACTAAGAAAAAAACTAAAAACGGGTTTAGAACGACAATAAGGTGAGTAAACCATGGCCAACCAACTCTTTTAACTGTTCTAATACCTTTTTAACTGGTTGAGGACTCTTCTGCCTCACTGCATTTTGCAAGGAACATTCTGATAAGCTAAAAGAATCTCCTAGAAGTCTTTGCATGTCCTTTTCATCACTGTCTAAACTGTCTCTCCTTTCTTTGTTCATTCAGACCAGACGTTCTCTTAGGAACCTGCTCTTGAGGTGCCGACATGGTTCCTCTTTAGAAAGAGGCTCCCTGTCATGCTCAGATCGCTGCTGGACTGAACAGGTAAACGTGTCTCTTGTGGTTCGGAGAGGTTTGTATGTATACTGGGGCCGTTGTTTTTGCTTTTCTGGTTTCTGATGTTGTTCTCGATGAGTGCTAGTCTACTCAAAGCTACGCTTTGTGAACTGCGTTGAGGTATGAACTTAAATTAATCTGTTCCAGCAGGACGTCCTGTAGGAGCAGATGACAGTCTATCACCAGTGGCATCTTTGGAAGTCTTATAACAAGTACAATAACATTAAATGGCATTAAAATACTTATTTTTTTTGTAAAAAGTTTAGAAAGGCCACATTACCTTCAACAGTAGACTAGAACAATGACTAAATATAATGCTAAATAGCTGATTAGCTTCTTTTTTATATAATGTTTTGTTTGATCATTCAGTTTACACTATGGTACAACAAAACTACAACACAATAATTAAGAAAAACAAAAAGTCAAGGAAAAAATAAAATACCGAAAAGTGCAGTTATTACAAAGAATTTACGTGATGAATCGTGCGCAATTACACCAGAAACGTCTATTTAAAAAAAAAAAGTAAACATCGTTCTTTTTGATTTAATGTTGAATGTAGAGCAATCGTGTAACACACACTAACCACATCTCTTTTGTCCCTTGCTATCCCATTGTTTGTGATTCTCTGTCCAGAGAGCTGAGCCTTCGCCCGGTTCAGAACTGAACTCCTTGGTCCTCCACGACTCCACATCTTGACTGGTTAGTAAACATTACCTATTTTTTAAACTGGACACAGCTTTTTCACATGTGTAAAATAAACACAAAATGTCATCAGAGTCGGCGCCAATAGCCTCGTGGTTAGTGCGTCGACACATAGTGCAACTGCGCTCACGGCGACCCGAGTTCGATTCCTGTCTCGAGGTCCTTTGCCGATCCCGCTCCCCTCTCTCCTCCCAGTGCTTTCCTGTCATCTCTCTACTGTCATATCTCATTAAAAAAGGCATAAAAATAACTTTAAAAAAAAGTCATCAGAAAGCCTCGTCTTAACAGAAAGTAGTCTGTATTTACATGTCACCTTTACCTTTATTCATTTATATAGCGCTTTTAACAATACAGATTGTGTCAAAGCAACTGAACAGCATTAATTAGGAAAATAGTGTGTCAATAATGCAAAATGACAATAGTAAACACTAATTTTTCAGTTAAAGGCAGTTCATCATTGAATTCAGTGATGTCATCATCCAGCTCAGTTCAGTTTAAATAGTATCTTTGCAATCAAGTCAACGATATCGCTGGAAATGAAGTGTCCCCAACTAAGCAAGCCAGAGGCGACAGCGGCAAGGAACCAAAACTTCATCGGTGACAGAATGGAGAAAAAACCTTGGGAGAAACCAGGCTCAGTCGGGGGGCCAGTTCTCCTCTGGCCAGACAAAACCAGCAGTTCAATTTCAGGCTGCAGCAATGTCACATTGTGCAGAGGACTCATCTGGTTCCTGTCGTCTTTCATGCTAATGCACTTCCATTAATGCCAACAAAGTTTTCTAGTCTACAACAGAATTTTTCGAGGTTTCGCCGATGAGAATGCGAAGCTCCAGCATGTTCACCATGATAACGTCGCGAGCGTTCTGACGTCACCGGAAGCGGATGTTTTGGTTTCACTTTCTCGACTCGATTGTTTTTATTTTATATTTTAAACCATACACAGTAATTTTTGCGGCGATTTAAATGAGTTTTATAACGAATCATCCGCAACCTTCCTTTAAATATAGCAAATGAGACATGGGAAAAACTTTTTTTATTATTCAAATTCAAATTTTATTCACATTTTATTCGTGTTTGTATATGAAATCTTTATGAAAAAATATACAAAATGAATTAAAGAGTTAGATGAAATCAGCTCTGTTTGTGAGTGAGATTGAACCCTGCAATGGTTAGCCTCTGTTTTATCAGTACAGAAATCTTTACATTTGGTTTGATCTGTCGGCTTCTGCTGGATGTTTGTGGTCGCTGAGTGTGTCAGTAGTTTGGGGGTGAAGCTTAATTTTTTTTCCTTGCCATTTCCTCTCTTGCTAATATGAACTCACAAACTTCTTTTCCACACAAAACATCTTTACACTGAAATACAGCCAATCCATCAACAGTTAAATAATAGCCAAAGGTCAAATAGGACTCACATCAATGAGTCCTAATCTAATTTAATATAAAAGCAATATGTCACTTTAATCATAATAGCTTTCATACAGGGCCATAATTATTTTGAAGATCAGCTTGTTCATTTTCACGACTTCCTGTAATAAAGGAAACCGTGATGAGTTCAGAGTTTTCAGACATTTTAAGCATTGCTACCGTGGGTTTTTCAGTGAACCGATGAAGAAAATGTTTCTCAAATTCGTTTTGTTCTGTCTGTGTTTGTGGCGTCTGGATGGTGAGTTTGAAATGTGTTTTTATGGCTTCAGTTGTTTCTGTTCTGGTACCATGTAGTAAATTACTGGTTAAATTTGTCAGAGAGGGGTTTAACATTAACAGTTATGCTCATATAGAAATAACTGAACTTTCTGAGATCAAGTTTGGGTCTATAGTCAGTTATTAAGGGTAATTCAATAAAATTAAATAAAAATGTAGCTCAAATGCCCATCAGCACTGGTTTTAGTTATAGTGAAAGTCTCTTTAAATCTGTGAAAAACTGTTATTCAGGTGTGTTTGGTGTTAAAATGAAGTCGGTGTCAGTGATGGAGGGAGATTCGATCACTCTAAACTCTGGTCGTACTCAATTAATGGGTGATGATGAGATTGTGTGGATGTTTGGAATTGAAAACGCTTTAATAGCTGAAATTAATGTAACGGCTGACATATTCACTCTATATGATGATGTTCTTGATGGGAGATTCAGAGACAGACTGGAGCTGGACAAACAAACTGGATCTCTGACCATCACAAACATCAGAACTGAACATACTGGAGTTTATAAACTACAGATCAACAGTGCGAGAAAGAGTTTCAATCTCACTATCAATGGTGAGTAAATATTTTCTCAACCTCATCTGTTTCACCTGCACTCTTAAGAAAAATGGTTCTAAACGGTACCAGAAAAGGGTTCTTCGGCTTGTAACAATAGCAGAACCCTTTTTGGTGCTAAATAGAACCCTTTTTATAGGATTCCATAAAGAACCTTGCTTTGAAAGTGCTATATTTAACCTTAAAGGTGCTATAAATAACCTTTTTAATGATAGTTTGTTTTCATTAATATTAATATATTAGTATATTTATATAATTAATATTAGTTTTATTAATATTATTTGAATAAAATATTTACTATTATTGTTGTTTTACCTCCTGCCTGGTGTCTATTAAGGTTTTCATAAAAACAACAACAACAACAGCATGTTGTCTCTTAGGTATTTTTTATTAAATGACGTGAAATTGTAGCAAAGATGACAGTGGTGTAACAACCGTTATTAGCAGAATACATTAATAAATGACAATTAACACTAAACATAAATAAATACTTAAAGAAGTAAAACAAAAATAGAAACAGAAAATAGTGTAATGAAGACCAAGTTCAAGTGAAATACAGTATTTTCACAATCCTCTATCATGCCTGTAAGTCCGTCATTATGTGTATTTGGTGTGATTGAGTGGCCGTTCCTCTCTGCAGATGACGAGGTTGTAGGATGTGACAGCATCTGAAATTCACAATTGAGTTTGGAGTTAAAATTTGCCTCCTTTATGTAAAAACAATTATGTTTATAAAGGCCAAAAGTAGTATGTGAGCACTTCACAATGTTATGTTTATGCATAAACCCAAGTAATAATAATAATAAAAAAAGAAAATAAATAAATAAATAAATCTAACAATATGGACCATAAATTCAATATCTTTGCTACTTACTTAGTGGAGATGGCGAAAGAAGTATCCTTAAATGAACAGAGCTGGTCACACTTACATGTGCTCTTAAACTAAAACGAGAAAAAGACACGATGGGTAGGAAACCAGTTACAGTTTAAAAGTTAAAAATGATAGACATTTTAAGAAAGAAATCATTTACCTGTTGAGAGTGTGTTGACAGTCTGTGTATCAGGATGGCAGAGCTCCAAAAAAGCAGTAATGAGCCATCTGTTTTAATTTATTTATTTTTTGAAGCCTCTATTAGGGATTTACATTAAAGGGGTGGTTCATTGCGATTTCACTTTTTTTAACGTTAGTTAGTGTGTAATGTTGCTGTTTGAGCATAAACAGTATCTTAAAAGTTACGAAGCTGAAAGTTCAATGCAAACGGAGATATGGTCTTTTAAAATTCTGGCAGTTTAATGCCTACAAAAACGGCTGGTAGGGACTACAACGAGTTACTTCCCGGGTTCGTGATGTAACAAACCTAGATAAACCCCGCCCTCGGGAACACGCAACAAAGGGGGCGAGGCCTGCGCTGCTTTAGAGAAGAGAAAACTAGAGGTGCACGTAAAAATCTATTCATATATGAATCGCGATTCTGTCTTCTAATGATTCTAATGCAGTGGTGTAGTCTAGTTTTTTGTAGTGGGTATACTCTGATTTTTCCCGCAGCCTCATAGCTACTCACCATCCCAAAGCGACACCCTATCACCACCACACTCACTAATGCATACAACATGCATCTACATGTAACTGAGAGCACTCTAAAAGACTGCTTATGTGATGTCAATTTATTATAAGCAACAGAAGACTTTAACAGCCAATGACATTTACAGAGAGACTAGACTGATTTTCTACTGTTTAGTGTTAATCATTTAACTCAGCCAGTTACATTTTCTCTTAAGAATATGGTTCCTGGAGCACAGGTTTTATCAGCTGGCAATTTTCAATGCGCATTTAAGAGTGCCTGTTTTTAAATTTCCTAGCCTGACTTTCTGTCCACAAGGCTGGCCAGGAGTTCTCGTCTCTCTCATCATCTGAAACTAGGAGATATAAACATTGCATTCCATTTAACTGATGCACACAGACACTCACATACACAGTATCTGTTATCTCTCCTATTCTCCCACATTCACTGATCCACCACACTAACGGAACTTAAGTTATTAGCTAGTTATGTTGGCTTGAGAAAGCCAACATACTGTTATAGTATTTATACTTCTTATTCTTCTGAGACCAAGAATTTTCAACTGTACTGTATCTCCTCCCAGGGCTTTAATGCTACAGGCACCAAACTTGTCAGAGACCTTGGACCTGATCTGTAGTTTGTTTCTATATCTTTTCTAACTGATGATACTTACAGTTTTCGTATAAATAATTATCAAAAATCAAAGGTTTCCCATAGATTTGCATTGGCTGAGCAAAATGTCCTCTCTAGAGGACAACTGCAGTCCACTAGAGGGAGCCACAGGATAATAAATCTTTCAACACCCCTCATTTACTTTCGTTTTCAGTTAGTTAAATTTACAGATAATTGCATACTTTTCCTTTATGCTGCCAAGCAAAGCTAACATATTTGATCATGACCAGGTCAGGTAGTGACTGATGGAGGCATGAGGCCAGTGTGAAAGACGCTCGGGACAGTTGACTGATCTGTCACTGCTGTTTCCATCCACCTATTTTTATGTGCATTTTGGAATATCGCATAATAAACGCTGGATGGAAACGCCAAGATGTGCATAAATTCTACAAATACGCATAAAAAAACTTAAGCGCACAATTGCGTAGGATAATTTTTTTTTTATCCGATAAGAAAAAACGATGGAAACACATTTACCGAATAAATTCCACCATGCGCATCAAAAAAACTCATGTGACTTTGCACGATGGGATGGAATAACTTGACTAACCAGTGGACCGATCTCGTTGCACTGCATCTGAAATGTTGTTTAGGTCGTTCTGAAATGCCTGAGCAAAGTCTCTCATTAAAGTACTATTTCTGTATAACTGCTTCCCAGAACTGTAACACGACAGCGTTCCCAAACATGCAAGCATCCACTTCCAAAAGCAATGACAGCATTTATTGTGTTTCTCTGCTCTCTCTGAGGCAAGTAATTCATCATGTATGAAAATTATTATATTAACTCTTTCCCCGCCAGCATTTTTTAAAAAAGTTGCCAGCCACCGCCAGCGATTTTGATGATTTTCACTAAAATACGATGGCCTCCAGTATATTTTGCTGTATGAATATTTGAATATGCAATACACCAAAATAAAGATCAGTGCCTCTACTTTTAAACAAAAAAAAAAAATCAGTTTTATTCTAGCTTAAAGCATTCTATTTTTTATCAAATTGAATATCGGTAGGTTACTTAAAAATGCATCATTTTGAGCAAAAAGATGAGAAAATCAAATTTTTTATCAAAAACTACATCTGGATAATATTCAGTACGATTATCAAAGCATAAATCCAGCAAATCGCTTCCATCAACACCTACAAAGCTTGCACAGACATATACCACTTCCTGGATCAACATTTTACTCTGTAACATTATGCAG